TGGCGCGTTATTTAAAGCGGGCACTTCATCACCCAGGGTTTCCTCTTTTATCGCAAATTAATTAATCCCAACGCCCCGGCATCCATTAAAACCGCGGCGCGCGAAGGCCTCGGATCCGCCTCAAAGCATCCAGCTAACTCCCCTCCCTCCTGTATATGTTAATGTTTTCGCGGCCGTTCGATTAATTTCTTCCTTGCCTGCAGCTGACTCGGCGAGGCTCGGCTGGCTTATATTTCTTCCTTCTTCACCCCTCCATTGTAATCGCGTAATCAATTTCCCGATTTATCATGGCTGGTTTACCTTTTATTACTCCTCCTTAAGGACCTGTTAAAAAAAATTTAGGAATAAATACGAAAAATGTAATTCTGACGATCTTTTTGCTCTATAATTCTGCAACACTCGTTTGATCAGAATCGTATGGCTTATTAATGTATTCATTTAATAAATTCGATATATTTCCACGAGAACAACCAAACATACATTTCATTGCATATTGATAACGCAATGCATATTGCATTTAACATTATAATACGCATATTTATGTTACTTTGACGCATTAAACATGTAACATGTTCTGCTTTACTGTTTAACGAGTTTCGACGTTTCCATTACTGTAATTCAACGAGACCTCTTCCAACGAGGAAATGTTATATTTACAAAGCCTTGGTGTGATTTTGTTTAGTTGTCTATTGCCATGATACTCTCTAATTTCTCGTGCAATTAGTACACAGCGTAAATCGCTTTCCTCAAGCATTAAATTTTATAATTGTGATATGTTAAATCCTCATTAACTCGGCGCTAATTACGCCGAAGGGCGGTTTCTCCAAAAATTTAGCTTACCGAGAGGGTCCTCCACTCGTTATACCTCTGAAAAAAGAGAATGCCGGCGCTTGTGAGCAGCTAGTTTTGTTGCCCATGCCGCGGTAGTAAAAGTTAGCAGTAACAGAGAGATATTTCGTACAGCTTGGAACAATGATTCCTGGCCAGCTCCGGCTTGTGTTAATTTCTCCTAGGGAGACAAGATTAAAAAACAGTAATAAACCTGTCTTTTTTTTTCAATGCTCGATCTGGCATTGATAATAATAGTAATAACTTTAATGCCAAATCTTCATTGTCCCGAGCTGTACAAAAGAGAAAATACGATTTTCGTTGAATCTTCGAAGATGATTTCGTATGATAAAAATAGAACTGCGACTCTTTTTGATTATTGATTAGCTCTGAAAATTCTGTCTGAACGCAAATATGAAATCAATGGTTTTTATATGTACATAAACACAGTGCGCTATGAACGTAGCATTGGACAGGAACATGGAAATTCTACGTTGTTTTTGTTATTGCATTTTTCACGGCGCTGGCCAGAAAAGGAAATGAATTTCCTACGATTTGTTTGAGGAAGTAAAACAAACGTCGTTTGAAAGGGGGGGAATAGCTGGTACAGCTTGCGAGTGAAGGGTCGACCGAGAAATAAGTATACGTTCTCTTGAAAAATTCGCTTCCCCACCGGTTATTCTCATTTTCTCCGATACTTCCACTTGGAAGAAAGTAATTTTCCCTGGTTTCTTTCCGCTCCGCAAACGGGGTGGCCCCGCCGCGGCCGTCGCGCCGGTGCCGCTGATCGATCGTTGATGTTCATCCGCGCGGGAAACTTCGATCCGAACGTTTATGCAAATTACTCGCGGCTTTCCAAAGGCACGGAATTAGGTTAGCCCCTCGTGGCGATCTAACGCCCGTCACGGAACGCCCGCTCGACTTATTTCTCAACGTCGTGAAACTATTCGGGTCGAACACGGAGCTATTCGGCATCTTCCTTTGTCAGCCATGCGTTACCTGTTCGTTATGAAGAAAATTCGCCCTTTCCTGCGAATTTCTTGTTTGCGTCGAGCACGTCAAGCGTTATATCGGCGAAAGACCGGCGTAACCGGTAACTTCGTTCATCGAAGTCGAACCGCGGACTGGAACTGACATTATCGAAGTTGCAACTCGCGTTCATTCCCATCGGGCGGCAATAACATGGAACTACGTGCACCGCTCGGCCCTTATTATTGCATCGGAAGCTACGCTGCTAAGGTGTTCCCGTTAATATCGATGCCATTCCTGGCAGTTAGAATGCTGGTTACAGGTTGCCAGTGCCGCGTCACGACTCCAATTAGGGTACCGAGTCGCAACTTCGCTTGTAAGATCTGATCTCTAACGATGTAATCGTTGCGTGGTCGATGATCGTGAGGTTTCGTCGAGAAACGCGATTTGCGTAAGAAATTCTGTTAGCAGCTACTCCGTTTTATAGCTGTGACACGGAATGCACAGGTACACCTGCACATATACTTGTCATCGATCGCATTTAGCATTTTCTACTGGAGGAAGCAAAACGAAAAATCACGAGGGAAGGGGACCTTAACAAATTAGTGCCTCGCTGGTAGTAAAACGGATAAAAAGGCCTTTAATCTCGAGTCGATAAAAAAAGGTCATAATTACTAACGATCTCTACGTTTGGCATGGCTGTTAGCACCACGGGCTGCTGCGCAATCAACCGCTTCGAGTATACGGCGTGCGCAAATTGAGCGTGTCTCGTTAAGCGTTTCCGATTTTTGCTTCCGCGGCGAATATAAGTCAGCCGTCGTTTCGTGGCAGCGTCAAACGTCGTTTGACGTCGATAACGTTGACCGAAAGCCCGTTCGAAACCCTATCTGGCCAGGTTAATTATCTTTTCACTGACCGCTTTGTTGGCCCGCTGAAACGGCGTCAGAGGTCCCGCCTTGATGTCCGTCAATGTAACGGACGCGCCGTGAACTCCATTTGACGTCCGACACGTGGTATAACGAGACACCGTGCACCGACGATTTCAAGCCTGGAATCCGGTCTATTTTACGGCACAGTGATAATCGCTCGACATCGGAACATCAGACAATGATCACGGTTCGCTGGCCCTTCCCGATCGCAACCGGCTCAGGCTTAAACGTTCCCGCGAGGCTCGCTAATCAGGCCACTCGAGATTTCGACCAGCCATCGATCTCCCCTGCACGGAATTCTGACAGTGTGTAATTGATAAACAATTTCAATTGCCGTCGGTTAAGTAAGATGTCTTGTCATCGTACAAGATTGAGAATTATCATTTATCATCGATAATGTCATTTAAAAGAAATTTCATATCACTGCTGAGCAAAGCGAAATCGATAATTGCCGATAGATTCTTTCAATCGCTGTTGTGTAATTAAACCTGAGGTGCATCGTGTGAAACAACGAGGTAACTTACAAAGTGTGTTAAAGATTCCCGATAACACGATTGCAATCACTGATGCCCATATTGCCACGAGCTGACTGAAAACGTTTATCGGTTTTTATCATAATTGCGCAAGCCAAATTATTATCGTTGAACTTCTGACAGCTTGTGATGTATTAGGGACTTAGGACTACTTATTCGATAAATCTTAATTATCTATCTACAGATATCGACTGTCTTGTATTACATTTAGACAACAAATTATTTACATTATTGATAAAACGAATCTTATCTTCCTGAGAATAATATAATCATCGTGTAACTTCCATGCTAAGAGATACTATATAATTTGAAAATAATCAGAAAGAAGTACGTTTGTTCCTCAATCTTACTTAATTAAACGACGTTTCAACCCAGTTTTTGCCCCTCGGGACTTACCCGAGCGACAGCTCGGCTGAAGTAGTGAAAATCGCGAGGAAACCAGCGCCGAGATCGGTTCTCAAGAACGTTCAGCTCGCGGCGAGTTTTATTCAACGACGGAGAAAATACTTTTCCACCGTTGAATGACAGAGAAGGATTAAGGGGTTGGAAGCTCGTCGAGCATTAAAAGTGCGTGAGGACGGATTGGAGCGTTGCCCAGACGGTGCGTTTTAATTATGGGTAGCGTTGCGCATTTCTAACGGGGCACCACGTCGAGCCTCGCCTCATAGCTCGTGGGCACTCGCTATTAGACTCAAGATTATTCTTACTAATTATTTTAATTGCACATAGCCTGTGAAAGGGCGAACGATAAACAGCCAACGAATGCTTGTAGGCTAATGATAAGAGGCAGCTTGCGATTGGTCTATCCGAGACATACATCTAATTTTTAGACGATAAGAAAATTAAATTATATAATACTGTTCAATCAAAATGATTAAGTGCTTGTAAATCGTAACTACAATTGAAAGTATTAGTTTTTAACTGCATACACGGTGAAACTGTCTTAACAATAACGAAGCAAATAAGAGTACTTTTAAAATTCGTTTTCTACATTTCAAAACCTCAGACATTTAACTGAAAAATTATTTATGTATGTACGTATGCGAGAGTCCTGACGTTGAGTTACAGACTTCCCTCTCGTCGGTAAGATTTCACTTCGATATTACTTTTCTTGTATTAATGCAGGCGCTGCAATGCGAAGAAGTTTCTTAATTACACGTTTCCTGCATTACCCTTCGCTCTCACTCGTAATATATTCATGATTCGAATATATTTTAAACTTGACATGTATATATATTGCTCTCCGTGCTGGATTTTCATTTAAAGTAGATGCATTTTCAGTATATAATTAGCGGCAACTTAAAATGTGGTTCATTTTCGCAGTACTCGCTGACTTGATATTTCTATATTTCTCTTTCTAATTTTGCGCCAGGTACGTATTCGAAAAATGCTACCATTACCTTTCTAAATTCTTCTACAGTTTAATTTAAGATTTTCAATATTAAGACTACCGAATTCAACGGCAGTACCGTAAGCAGTTAGCGAACTCTCTCCCTGTTTACAAAACTCTGATCGACGTATTCCAAAATCCCATTGAAACGTATAACACAATGCCGGCGATATAGACAAATTTGCGCCTTACGATTCAAAAGTATTGCGACATAAGTTGCTGGCATTCGAAACGCCTGCGAAGGAAGAAACAAGTGACTACACGTACACGATAACGATTGTGAAGTGTTACTTCACATGTTATCGAAAATAAAGATTGAATATGAAATTATCTTATCAATTCGGTGGAAGAAACCGTCAACTTTTTGCCAGTTCGGTTTATTATAAAACGGCAGAGAATAGTTCGGTTGCATCAGTAATCCAACATGTTTCGATTAACGATCATCGCCTGTTTGCTATATTTCGGTGCAGTCGCGAACGCGAACTGGTACGATAACGCCGTCGTGTACCAGGTCTACCCGAGAAGCTTCAAGGACAGTAATGGGGACGGTATCGGTGACTTGAACGGTATCACTAGTAAGTTGGAGCATATAGCTGACATCGGCGCGCAAGTAGTATGGCTGTCGCCGATCTACACGAGTCCACAGGTCGATTTTGGCTACGACATCGCAAATTTCACGGACGTCGATCCGAGTTACGGTACCCTGGCCGATTTCGACCGGCTCATAGCCAAGGCTAAGTCCCTCGGGCTTAAAGTGATACTGGACTTCGTTCCGAACCACAGTTCTCACGAACATCCTTGGTTCAAGAAGAGTATCCAAAGGATCAAGCCCTACGACGAGTATTACGTCTGGCGGGATGCCAAGATCGTGAACGGGACGAGGCAGCCGCCGAACAACTGGCTGAGTAACTTCCAGGGTTCTGCCTGGGAATGGAACGACGTCAGGAAGCAATACTACCTGCATGCGTTCGCCGTCGGTCAACCGGATCTCAACTACCGCAGTGCGCTCTTGAATCAGGAGATCAAGAACGCGTTGACCTTCTGGTTGAACCGTGGCGTCTCTGGTTTCCGTATCGACGTTATTAACCATCTGTTCGAGGATGCAGGTTTCCGTGATGAGCCGAGCGCCAACAGGACCGACATCCCCAAAGACGACTATGACAGTTTGATACACATTTATACCCAAAATCTGCATGAAAGCTACTTGGTTTTGCAGAGCTGGAGGGAACTGTTGGACAATTTCACGAGCAAAACTAATACCGATCATAAGTTGCTCCTTACGGAAACTTACGCAGCGCAAAATTACACGATTAAGTATTACAGTTACGGTTCGATCCCGTTCAACTTCATGTTCATTGTGAATTTAAACAATCAATCGACCGCTGCGGATTTCGCGACAAAGATCAACGATTGGATCGACGCTATACCAAGCGGGCACGTGGCTGACTGGGTCGTGGACAATCACGACAATCATCGCGTGGCCGCAAGATTCGGCACTAAACGGGCTGATCAGATCACGATGCTGTCGATGATGCTGCCCGGCATCTCAGTTGTTTATTATGGCGACGAAATTGGGATGGAGGACAGATTTTTCACGTATGAGGAGACCGTCGATACGGCTGGCTGCAACGCCGGTCCGGAAAGGTACTATTTGAAGTCCAGAGACCCTGCGAGGACACCGTTCCAATGGGACAACACTACCAGCGCTGGGTTCTCCACTAGTCCAAAAACTTGGCTGCCGGTTAACTCTAATTATAAAACGTTGAACCTGGCCGCGCAAAAGGTGGCCGAAGTTTCTCATTACAAAGTATTCAAGGCAATGGTCGCTCTTAAAAATAGCAGCGTGCTCACGAAGGGAAGTGCAGAAGTCTCCGTCTTGAAGAACAAGGTTCTGGCGGTCGTTCGTCAATTGGGACGGAAATACGCTTTGCTGCTCACTAACGTCTCCAACTTGCCTGTCACTGTAAATATTAAAACCACTTTGGATCTTCCCAACGATACTATCCTTCAGGTTTATACAGCAAGCATTGGTTCGGACATTTCTCCTGGTTCGTTGGTCTTCGGAAACGCTGTGACTGTTCCTGGATCTGCATCTATTGTGGTCATTGCCGCTTAATCAGATCATAATTGAAATTGTTCGAACGACCGGCTCAGCCGAGCGCGAGTTTGTCTGCTAGGCTTGCTATCGCCACCATCGTTTTTTAATAAATAGAGTGGTAGATAAAATGTTAAATATTATTTTTGCTAACACGTGTGATAATGACGAATTATATTATATATGTGATGTCGTCGAATTGTATTATATAATTAAAAACTAGATATTTTACATTAGATTCAATGTAATAAGATAATAGAATACATTCATTAAATTATATCAATTTAATATTGCAACTAATAATTCCTTGACTTCTACGTACGACAGATTCCTCGCAAGCCATTTTCCGATAAATTCTTGGCTATAAACTTTTCATACCGCGCCGAGGCTCCACGAAAATTTGACAATTCCGAAATGCAGCTAGTTACGTACTCGAAGAATTCTACCATCATCTTTCTAAATTATTTTGAAGTTTAATTTAAGATCTCCCTTATTAAAACCACCGAATTGAACGGCATCATCGTAAGTAGCGAGCAAAGTTTCTCGTTGTTTACGAAACTCTGATCGATGCATTTCGAGATCCCGTCGCACAAAATCGATTTATCCTGTTTCCCACGGCGTGGCCATTCCAGCGAAGTGCTTTGAATCGGTGTTTTATCTCAGGGAATGTCTCACCCTCTGCTCGTAGGTAGCGACCCATTCAGACGCGATCCCACCCCCGTATCCTCTCGAGTAAGTGGCAGGCCGTCGCTGTGACGCGCTTCGCGATCCCACGAGCATCATGCTGCATTTTTCGCTGCCACCTCATAAATATCGAGCGTCGCGTCGTTCCACAGATTCTCGTCTTTGTCCGCGAGAAAATTGACGAACCAGAAATCCTCGTCTGTATGGAACGACTAGCTATTTGTGCCTTTGATCGCTCATTAATTTTGCCAATTTTCACGCGTCACATATATGTCTGCGAGAAAGTTGCCGCAGTTTAACATCTGAGTTTAATTTTCTGTTAGAGCGAATGCCTCGTTAAGGAACTAGTGACCGCGTTTCTAACGATCGCGTTAACTTGGAACTAAAACATATAATTCTCTCCTCATATTCTTTTTTTTTTTCGGGTAGACACGTTTCAGCGAAATTATTTCGGAGTCACTTCGCCGAGTTTTCCGAGGTGTCAACTGTATTCAGTGGTTCGCACAAATAGCTCGGTGCCTATGTTTACGCGCCGCCGGTGTCTGACACGGATACGACTCTTTCTACTTCCCGCTAATGAACAGTTTTAATTGGAACAGCTACTCGCCACGTGCGTCGCGTATCGCACGGGAAGAGTGCAATTCTCACGCGTACATAGAAGTGTTTCAGATAATGCAGGCGCTTGTTGTGCGCTAGTTTGATGCAAACGTTTCGCGACAGCTGCTCGCGTTCGAAACGACTGCGAAGGAAGAAACAAGCGACGATCGTGGTAATTTTGTTTCATTCTATTATCGACACAGCCGGCACGTGCACATTCATAGAAAAAAATCTACACGACGTTCGGTCAATTTTCAGCGACGCGCCGCGGGCCGGTTCTCTTCCTCTTTTTTCTGCTGATTTTCTATTTCTCGTTCGCACGAAATTCTATCAACGGCCCTGTATTTAGCTTTATATCCACAGCAGCAGCTGTACCTACAAAACTGGACCGGGCGGCAATTTCCATTTGAGAGGCGGCGAACGTCGTTCGCCCTTCAGAGACCGTTTTTACTCCAAAATATGAATTGCAAAACTTACATATATACCACCGGACCGCGTACAACGCGCTGGCTGCCGTGGAAATTGGACTTTTCGAGATTGCGGGACCCTTCTTGCTCAAGAAAAATTCAATAAACCCTGCCGCCGGCTAGAAAATGCATAGGAGATTATTGCATAGGATATTAATCATTATCAAATTGAATTTCACCCCGTCTTTAATCAAATTTCATGGTTATCGACGATACATGCACGGCCGTCGTTCCGTGTTCATCGTACTTTCCGCGTTTCAATTACGTTCTTCCTCAGCAATTTTCCCTGCTAATTTCTCGTGGAACTTGTTTGCTACGATACCGACAAAAAATTACTCTGGATAGGGAGAGACGAAAGAATTGAAACGTATGAACGAAGAAGAGTCGGAGGGGGCGGACGGGTATAAAAGCCAACAGTATTCAGGGAAAAACTGTTATTCCGGAATTACGGTGTACGCTATTTCGAGCGTGGCTACTTTCACAACGTGTCAGAAATGTCTAAGCTTTGGGACGTTCTTGCGACAGAGCGAATCTCCGTGGCTCAACCTTTTGCATCGCAGCTCTTCCCAGTGTCTCATTTTCCGCGGACGAAATTTTCAGGTGTCCCGGAACGCGTGCCAGTCGTGTAACGAGCTGCGAGCTGTCAGACCATTGCTTTAGAGTCACTTAGAACCGGATCCCTGGACGAAATGTACCCGGGAACAACGGCGAAATTTGTCCCTTGATGAGACATGAGAACTCGGTTTTGATGAAGCTGAAATGAACCGGCAAGTCTCCAGCGTGTCGCTGATGTATAACACGAAATTTTAAGCGAGGTTAATTGAGAAAATAAAGCTTTTTTGTAATATCGAGATCTAATTAAGAATTTGTGGAATCGATTTGTTGTTAATTTGTATTGCGTTGAAAAATACTTTTGAAAAGAGCTATATTGGAGGTTCTCTACGTAGAGTGACAAGAAAGACAAATATTTTACGTTATCAGTCGATCCAAGTTAACACTTACGTTTTCAAGTACCGAATAGCAACGTTTGATGTTTCAAATGCGGAAATGCGATTTCGAAAGGCAGGCAATTGACAGCTTACACGGGGCGCGCAACCGTCGTCGCTGTAATTATTCGAAGAACGTGCTTTCATTTAATTTCACGGTATTCCAACAATGTTGATTTACCGGATGGACTGGCGCGCAGTGAAAATTTAATTAGGATCGCATTGCCTGGTCGTGTGTTGTGCTTTCGATGATAATGCATGCACGGGTTAATTAATTTGTAGCCTCGAATGCGCACGGTCGTTCGGCATTACGCATGTAACGAGTCGACGCGTTTTCCGCGAGCACCATTGCTTCTGCCCATTCTCTTTCGTTCCCGGCAATTTGTCCTCCGTCGATCGTTAAATATGTTTTATCCGCTTCAGGATATTCACACCCTCGAATAATATCTGTACTCAGACACCATGTCAATAATTGAGCAATTGATCTGTTCAAAAATTCGTCCGAGTAGTTTGGTGGCTGTATTTTAAAAATTAGCTAATAGGTGATTAAAATTTTGTTGCCACGACTGCTATCTAATTTCCTTGTTTGCGGGGCAGCGGCGTGGACGTTGGAAATTCATCGAAAAATGGCTGGTCGTCGTCGGATGAAAGTCGAGCCGCGGAAGGGTGGCATACAAATAGGGCGGGAAAGGGAGGATTCTCCCCATTCTCTGGAAAGAGAGTCGACGGAGACAGGAGTTCTGTGAAGTAGCAGGGTACAACCGCGAACGAGGGCTAATAACCTAGGAAGTTAATTACGGCCGTAAACTGCGAGGGGGTTGTTTGACTACCCCTCGGTAGCTAGGGTGGCTGACATAACGTGGCCTCGTTACAACGGAGACCGCGCCGATCCCTCCCTCGTCGTCTACACTTTCGAAGCGATCGCACGTCGTGAAAGCTCAACTTTCATCCTGCACGCCGCAAATCTATGAAAATTAACCCTTTCCGACTGCTCGCTCAGTTTTAACGCTTGGAAACATTTTTTTTTTTTAATGAAACTTGCTTCCAATACATAGTTTATAATTTCTTTTTACGCATAAAGCGTGTTTCTCTTTCCTAACACGCATGTTTCTTACATTGCGCGGTTAAAAAATAAAATACGATCGGAATAAGGAACGTGACAGGGAAAAGGCCGATAACGGGGGAAAAGACGGGGACGTTTTCGCGGTATGAATGATTCATTGTTTCGATGAAATTGTTCCAGGCGCGCAGCCGTGAAACAATGAATGAACGTAGTTCGCGCAATAAGCCAAGAAGAAAATTACGCGCATAAATAATGCTCTGGCAACGAAACTTTGTCCCACCGCGAGCATTTCCACTACGCGGGTATGCATTAGGTACCGCGTTGATCTTTGCCGGTTGCCGCAGGATTCGCTTATATCTTCGTACGTAAATCACCGTAGAACCGTCGCGTTGTTTCGCATGCGAAACACGTTTATTGTTGGAAAATGTATTAAACCATGGACGGATAGCTGACAAAAGGATTTAATCTGATTAATTTGAAACGAGAGACGGCTTAATTGAATCATTGCTTTCGAATATTTACAGTTAAAAGAATTCTATCTGTTTTGTACAAAATCTGCATCGCGAATTGACGCACCAATGTAGTAGATATTCGAGTGTTGTAAAAAACTCATCTGATAACACTTTCGGCAACGAAACGTGTTCCCCATGCGAATTCCGTATCGTTGTACGCTGAAAACAGCGCGTGTCAAAGAATTTTGTCGACCAATTCCAAAAAATCGTTTCCTTTTGTTCGCCGCGTGTGAACCGTTAGAAAAAAATGAATGGAGGAACGGGGTTTTCCTCCCCTCCTGTAGTCACACTGCGATATCGTTCAAATTTGATGAATATTGGCAGTTGGTGCGGGCCAACTATCTTTGTGCACGGTTTGTTTAAAACTGTACGTCGGTGACGGGTGGGGGACCGCGCGAGAAACCGATTGAAAATTTCAGTTTTTATCGAGGGGCTGAAATTTTGATAAATCGTTCCGGGAGCCGAATCGAAAAAGGGACGCGAGGGGGCGAGCGTATCGGCCGTACTGAAAATCGACGAAAAAAGCTTTTCAGCTCTCAGCCACGAATACATTTTTGCCATGTTCTTTGTTTCGCGCATCGCGTTTCCAACACAATAGTCGGTCCGGGATCATTGTATCTCCTTTCTTGTTCAATTAAGACGAATCGTTATTGATAATACCGACTATAAAACAGCCACTATTTCCAGTAGGATGACATGAAAATGGCTCTGAAATTGGAGCACCACTCACGATCCATATACATAGCGGCGAGATGCACTTTGCTCGTTGTTGTTTCCTCTTTTCCGCTGTCAATTTCGGTTGTCAAATATTTATAGTTTGAACAAAAACAATCGTTGTTTTGTAACGGATTTTCTCGGTGACGGAAAACTGTCATTCGTC